TATATATATATATATATATATATATATATATATATGGCTGAAGTTTAGGAGATATTCTAGATTGCGATCTCTAACATAAATTACGCTTTAAAAATCATATTATATATATATATATAAATCAATCCTTTTTACCAATAAAGTAAAGTATCTTCAATAAAAAATATATATATATATATAAATAAAAAGAGATGAAAATAAAATATTTATAAAGTAAAATATAGACAACTTACTATTAAATATAATCAAAGTTAATAAAAACAAATAATTTATTGAACAAAATAAATATCACTATTAATTATTATTAATAAACAAAGTAAACATAAATCCAAATACATGAAATAAACAAACTGTTCATATTTAGTAATTATCATAATTAATTATTAAGAAAAGAGGCGAATAAAGGTAATTTCGATTTCCGGAGATGGTCGAAGCGTTTGTGGGTTTATACCTCAATAAGGTACTCGAAAAATGTATGTGTGGACTCGATATGAGACAATTATGCACTCGGGAAACGATTGTTAAAATAACAAAAAAGAAAGAAATAAATTTGCACCGAAGCTTTAAGGCTAAGATTTGCAAAGTATATGAGGTCTCGAGTCAAGGAGGAGTGTTACGAAGTGAATAAAGCGCAATTGAAGTAGAAATAGAACCTTTTATAATTTGTTTCTGTAACCGCAGTAGATTACTATTTTCTTCTTTAAGAGCAAGTGTAATTGGTGTTTAAAGGTATTAGCGTATTGTTGTTTTCTGTAATCCTACTCAAATTTGGTGAAGATATTGTATGATGTATAAAGGGTTAAAAGCTTTCAAGACTTTGATATATAAACATTACCACCAGGGAATATGCTCTAATACACGTATAATGGAGAAGTTCCTATATCTCTATACACCATTCCGATGCTAAGAACTACCAGTTTGATTGTTGTTCTCCAAATCAACTCTTTACTTTATTTAAAAAAAAAATTGAAATAAATGTTTATAGACATAAATATTGTATTTTTAAATGGAGTGTATTTGTAAAAAAAAAATTATTTTCCAATTAAATGTGATTCAATATGTATTCCAAATTCGGTTTTGGTACATTTGATTAAGCTATTATTATTACGACATTAATTTTGGTCAATCGTAATTTTGTATTGCTTTCTTCAAACGGACAGAAGCTTCCGTAACGTCTCCTAAAATTCATATATATATTTTTTTTGGTGAACGGGCCAGTGACTTTTGGCCCACCACATCACGGCCAACCTATAAACCCATTTTCGGTAATCGTCGAAAAACGGTCCACAAACCCTGGTTGGTGAAATTTGATATAGTTTCCCTTGAATAAAATGGCAGAACAAAAAACACCCAAAAAATTAAAAATTAAAAAAAAAAATGCTCCACTTGCCGAGTTGGCCCGGTGACGTGGCATCCAAACTCGTGTGGATGACTCAACGATGATCCGACGGATGGAAAGGAGTGACATCGTCATCGCCTCACGTTGCTCGAGGATTTACGGCCCAATATCGTTTCGGCCCATGGTCCCGGACATCAAGGCATGATCGGCCTAAAGTATAGTCGGGGTTTTGTATATGCTAGATTTTAATATTTATTATTGATAATATCGAGAAATAATCCAGTTTACAAAATCATTTGTGTAATCCAATCTAGAAATTTTTCATGTTCGGAAGATATTTTATTCAATTTGGAATGGCCATCAACACGAAAATGCAATGGCAGTGGTAATTCACAGTCTTTTTTTTTTTTTTTTTTT